GCCCAAAACTGAACACAGTATTCGAGGTGCGGCCTCACCAGTGCCGAGTACAGGGGCACGATCACTTCCCTACTCCTGCTGGCCACACTATTTCTGATACAGGCCAGGATGCCATTGGCCTTCTTGGCCGCCTGGGCACACTGCCGGCTCATGTTCAGCCGGCTGTCGACCAGCACCCCCAGGTCCTTTTCCAACAGGCAGCTTTCCAGCCACTCTTCCGACACTTAGCCTGGAAAAGGGAAAACGGAAAGCTTTTCTCCCTTTCTTTTTTTTTCCCAATGGAAATGCTTTCTGTAATTTTCATGACTCCTCAAATGGCTACTGCTGTAAGACTCCTAATACACAGATCTGCTTTGAAGACTATAGTATAAAAATGGCAATTTTAGAAAATTGCATTAACTAGCTTTCAAAGATTTGCAGTAAATAAACTCTGTTCAGAAAAAGAAACAGGAATGGGACATGCTAAGATTTGTTTCTGGTTTTAACTTACTTTTTATGCTGGCAACAATCATCATCATTTAGCAGCAATGACCCCATATTGCCAGGCATGGTGGGGATGCAGAATCCCTTGATGGGGTGAAGTATGTGAGAGCTTGTATCAAGCAGCTATATTTGTTTCTTAATGCTTTTCTAACCAGTAGTGTGTCATGACACGCAGTACTGACTTTACTTAATATGACTTTAATAACTTCTGAAATAATATATTTGGATTGGCTTCTATCATCTCCTCATTCTAGAGAAGGACTAAAGTCAGCTTGAATTCCTCTAAGAGGGGCTTACCTTTTTGCTATTGCGGCAGAGGCGCTTAGTGTTCAGGCTGCTTCTATCTAGACATCTGTAAAATCGCTGAACCTCTAAAAATATGTTGAGGTAAGTTTAAATATGATTATGACTGTCAAGAAACAGCTAAGTTAGCTGGGTCAAGGACTAACAACCACAGAAACTAGAGATGTACCGTGATACAAATACTCTGAGAAATGTTTATTTGCATAGGTTTGCAAATGAAAATAGGCCTCCCTAACTAGTTACAGTGAGACAGGCAAGGCTTTCAACAGAGCGAAATACCCAACAGCTGCTACTATTTTACAGGAATCAAACCCTGCATAACTTGGGCTGATGGCAAGAGGATAAAGGTGTAAGGTTAACTAGTTAGTAATTATGGGCATGAGCTGTGGTTTAACCACTCCTGCCTCTAATCAATAAGGTTTTGTCCAAAGGGCTTATTGTTTAGAAATATGTGTCAACTGAAAGTTTGTTTGTGTCAACTGAAAGCCATACCACCCAAGTCACAGAAGGCAAAGGCAGAGGCTGGGACAACGAAGAACCACCCATTGTAGGAGAAGATCAGGTTCGAGACCATCTAAGGCACCTGAAGGTGCACAAGTCCATGGGGCCTGATGAGATGCATCCATGGGTCCTGAGGGAACTGGCGGATGAAGTTGCTAAGCCACTATCCATCGTATTTGAGAAGTCGTGGCAGTCCAGTGAAGTTCCCACTCACTGGAAAAGGGGAAACATAACCCCCATTTTTAAAAAGGGAAAAAAGGAAGACCCGGGAACTACAGGCCAGTCAGTCTCACCTCTGTGCCTGGGAAGATCATGGCACAGATCCTCCTGGAAACTATGCTAAGGTACATGGAAAATAAGGACATAATTGGTGACAGCCAACATGGCTTCACTAAGGGCAAATCGTGCCTGACAAATTTGGTGGCCTTCTATGACGGGGTTACAGCGTTGGTGGATAAGGGAAGAGCAACTGATGTCATCTACCTGGACTTGTGCAAAGTATCTGATGCTGTCCTGCACAACATCCTTGGCTCTACATTGGAGAGACATGGATTTGACAGATGGACCACTCGGTGGATAAGGAACTGGCTGAATGGTCGCACTCAAAGAGTTGTGGTCAACGGCTTGATATCCAAATGGAGACCAGTGACGAGTGGCGTTCCTCAGGAGTCAGTATTGGGACCAGCACTGTTTAACATCTTTGTCGG